GACGTTGAGAGCTCCTACATGAGATCGATGGCAAGGTTTTAGGAGACTAAGAATGAGGTTTCGATGGCTTTGATTGTTCCCAATGGTCGTACAGTGAGAGCTTGTGGGAGGTGTAAGAGGCTTAATATTAGTATAAGGTGACGGAAAAGAAGAAAACAGATTTGAAAAGGATAGATTATGTTTGAATGGGTCCTGTGTACTACTGGGAGCGTGCAGGCTGATGGCACTTCTCGACTGCCCACACCATGAAAGGCTAGTTCTTCTTAAGGTACCTGAAAAGGAAGGGATAGTGTGTGATTGCAGTATCCATTGAATATCTGCTTGAGGGTGGTCACATTCAGTATTTTGGGAAGTTTGAGATTTTGGGTTTGTATTTTTGAATCCGACTACGAATCCCTTTTGCAGGGATCATTATGCCGCGAAGGGGTGGAAGTGTGCTACTTTTAGGTTCAACCTTTTCTGACCCTCCCCCTTCCCGCAGGGAAAGCAGCATTAGTGTGGCACTGCGAATAGTTCAACGGAAACGCCTTACTGTTGTCACACTCCATCCAGCTAGCAGCAGCACTTCACCCTCGGACTCCCCACCATAGTGTAGCAATTTACAGTACAACAGTAACTGCTCTTTGTCTTACCACTTTTCAACAGACTTCTTTGTCATGGTAGGACTTCGAGAGAGCACGTGTTTCAGTCAGTTTAGTTCATTGGGTCATGCAAGCCCGGTCACTGTATCAAATGTAAAGACGCAATACTGATTTTCACTGAGAGGTAGGAAAATTTGCGGATTTATTTCGTAAGCCTGTTACATTGTGGTAAGTGCATTCTTTCGAAATTTAAATCCGACTGACTTTGTTTGCCATAGTGTAATCAGAGTGAAATGTTATGTAGAAACGACAGCTTTCAAGATATTGATATTGAAAACGACAAATTATCCAACTACTCAAGTCTAATCAGTCATCATCATCATCAATATCAACATAGCACCATGCATTACTGCGTAACGGTCCGAGTTGCCACACCTCATATCAGTGCACCAAGTAAAAAGGTAGTCAAGTGGGAGAAAAGAAAATTCAGTCAAAAGGAACATAAAGTACGAAAAGAGAGAAAGGGAAGAATGGGAAAATGGTGAGATTCGGTATAGCCTCGTTAAGATGAGGATAATGTGTGTATACATCTGCGCCACTGCATCGGTTCTCAGCCATATCATGTAGTCTCTAACCACTGGTTACTCTTGTTCGCGGACCCCAACCGGCTAGTCTGCATCGCCCCACATGGCTCAAACCAACAGTCAAACACTTCATACATTGATGCCATGTTTTAGTCTGGCCACCTCGGACCTTTTACCAGCCTGAATCCACTCCGGCCAACATTGTGTGACGATGCAGACGGTGGCTAGGCATACATAATACGCATCCCAACCATCTCAGTCGATGAAGGTTCATAACCTCGTCAACTGATTTACCTCTTCTCTCTAAAACTACGCCTAACGTCTGCATTACGTGGTGACACCACGGAATGCGGCCTATACTACGAAGGCAATGGTGGTGAAACACCTCAAGCCTTCTCATGTCTTCCACCTTCAGTGGTCATGTTTGACAGTCATGCAGTAGAACAGACCGGATTGGTGTGCAGTACAAGCGACCCTTAATGATCTAAACAGCACACCATCGCGTATAAAGAGTAACACTAGGCATACAGGTTAGATGACCATTTCATCACCAAAGTTTTCAAATAGAAAGAAGTAGACCTCAGCTTTTATAACACTTTAAACCTGTGCTGTCTTCAAAGAAAAAACAACAAAAGAAAACACATTCTATACTCATTGTACAAGCGACGGATGCTACGACATCAGAACTTTTCCTAGCAGTCTTCAAAACGTCCGTTAGAAAGTATCTAAGAGTAGGGAAGCTGATACCACCTCTTTAACTCAAGATAGACCACAGCCTTCTGTAGAAAGCAGTTATCATACTAGAGGAATAATATGCCCCAATACACGATGATATTTTAACCTAATCACGCTGAGCTATCCAAAAGAGAGAGGTGATCTTACTACAGATGTAAGATCGTACATCAGGCGGATTGTGAGAATGAGTGCCTTAGCATCAACATGGCGAAGACAATAAGGTAAAACCCATAAAAATGCTATCAGAAATGAGGGTCAGACTCTCTTCTCCTCTTAGAGTATGTGCTCCTGGAACATTTTGCTGCAGGACCTGGTTAAAATCACTTCAGTGGAATGCTTTAAAAGGAATTCGGATAGCTATATCGGCTTCTATGATATAACAGGAAATAACACGGGGCGTCACTGAGCTCACCAACCAACAATAAAGTCTGTTTAGCTACTCACTACCTTATATCTATCTCCTTTATATCCATTACTTGCTTTTTTGACTAATCCACTTCACGTTGTAACTCCTCTTTATTAACTATACTTGTCCCACCTCCCTTTACTCTTCTGAAAAATTCATGTCGTTTTATCCATTATCAGGTATCCCCCTTCAAGTAATTATTCAACCCCTAATCTTCCGAACAAACTCTACCTCCTAAATTACCCATTTTAAAATTTTAATATATGTGCGCACAGGAAACACACCTCACCAAATCTAAAAACATGAAAGTATAAATAACCTCCCTGTCCACTGCAAGGGCACAACCAAATAAAAATGAATCAAGTTCAAAGACCTAGATGCAAAAGTTCAAAAATCATCATTTTTTTATAGTCGTACCATTTATGCTGGGTTTAATATGACCGCAGTGAATATTGTTTCGGGTCGACCTACTGGCGTCTAACATATTTGGCATAATTAACGTTAAAATGTTCCTTATTTTTTGATGATAGCATACCTCGACACCTCATTTGATTGTGTCTCTCCAAATTTTTCGAATATGCTTAGTTCAGGAAGATTGATTTCGTTTTAAATTTTGCAATAATAGACTAGACATTTTTGTCCATGAACATTTACACTAAGGTTGAGACACTGATTGAAAGTTCAGAGAAGAAAAAGTCAACAAGAGCAGAACTTTTAAATCAATCAGAAAATGATGAAAAGGAAATCCGCCAGCTTCGAATGATTCGATGAAACATAATAGAACTATGTGTAACTACATGCAGGAGACTGAGAACGACATCGAATGTTTCCGGAAGTAAATAGCGTTTCCTTGTCATCAGACGAAACTGTATTAGAAGCCTGGAGATGCTAAGGACAGACATATTTGTTCGTTATTGTTAGGTTTGTTATTTTCTACAAAACTAAATAAGGTTTTGCAGTAAAATACTTTACAGGGGTTCTAATCGATTGTTTATTTGTTTCACCGCTTGCAGGTGTTGATATTCATTTACTGTCTGGTATCTATTTTATTATTAATTATTTCACTAATCCCCTTCCTATGGACAGACAGATCGACAAAATCAACGTAGAACCACCTCGTATACAAGTGCATCATCTCACATTGCCACACTTCACAGTGATATACCTAGTACATGTGATCAGAAAAATACTGTTGTCAAAAAACAAAAGGTTGAGTGAGAGAATAAACAGTTTGAAGATAAAGGTTAGGGCGGATTTCAACCTTTAGAAAATCGCAAACAGTGAATACATCTGAACCACTGTGATCGATCCCAAGCCATCTAACCAACAGTACTCAACCACTCATTCTTATCATCCCAGACAAGTATTCTACATCTCCAAACACAGTTCATACCAACAGTCATGCACTTCATCGACTAGTGTCACGTCTTAGTCTGGCTATTCTGAGCCCTTTTTCAACCCAATCCAACTTATCCTAGCATGGCATATCGTGGTAGGCAGTGGTTCGGCATGCGAAGCACGCGTCCAAACCACCTCAACCAACGGAGGTTTACAACCTCATCAATCCACGTGCCTGTATTCCCTAGTACCCTTCCCCTGACCTCAACATTCCTCACATGGTGATTCCATCAAACGCCAGCAATTCTACAAACACACCTATGATCGAAAACCTGTAACCGTTTCATGTCTTCTACTTTTAACGGCCATATCTCAGCCATACAACAGGACACAACGAACTCCAGCACAGTATACTCTCTTTTGATAGATATTCAGATGTCTCCTGAGTCGGCCCCATAGATGACGCAAGTTGGCAAATGCTAAACGGATCTTCTGTATCTGAGTTGAAATTTCGTCGGCAACCAGCTCTTATGGTATATATATATATATATATATATATATATATATATATATATACGAGGGGTGTAATTTTGCTTGAAATTACTGGGTTTGAGTTAATTCACTATCCCTTCCAATAAATGTTTTCTCCACTAGTTAGTATTGGGAAGAATTGAATAGAAAGTGCTACAGTGGCCCTCACCACGTGATCGCTGTTATTTCCCTGTCGGAAAGCCCATATCAAGACACTACAACTTCATGGTGGGATGAGACTGCCAAGACGTTGAGGTGGATGAAGCACACCCAACTTAAAAAACGTAAGATAAAATTAGGAAGATGGCATTTCAGATTGAATGTTAAATGAATGAAATGAAAGCGACACTATTGATCCCACTTCCTAATAATCATGCTCCCGTTCCGTTTACAAAAAGAATGAATCAAGTTCCTGCAATTAAAATTTACCTGAAATAAGAATATTTACCCATAGTGTGTGGTATTCTTCCATTCTATACAGCTGATTAAAGTCTATGCTGAAAACGTAACCACATAAAAACAAGGAGATTCTGGTCATATTTTCTTATTTTAACAGTTTTTCTCCCTTTTTTTATGAGATAAACCAACTATAAAGCCTGAATAACTTCCGTAGTGCCATCTTAGTCGTCACAACACTTTTAGTCGACTACGATTACTCGAGTATGTTTAAGTTCAGATCCTTAACAAGTAGTTGGTAACTTTATTTTGTTTGTGATCTCAGAAACGTATAAGCTCACTTTAATTAGCTAAAAGTGGTGGAGGAAGGAAAACTATAATCAAGAAATTATTTGTTGCCAAAGACAATGAATAACATGCAATACTTACTCTGCTTCAAACTGATTTGGTAAAAGAACGTCTGATAACGGAAGTATTTTTTCTTGATAAATTTGAACGAGTTCTGCTGGAACATACTAATTAGCAAGTTCAAAGGGATACAGAAAAACAGTTTAGTAACCTTTAAGGTGTATATAAATGAAGTTTAGCTGAGAAATTACTTTGACGAACAGAAGCAAACACGATAAGCCTGAAGGGAAAAATTTACAACTGTGATAAGTGTTGACTACTAGTCACTTAAATTCACTTCCACAACTTTACTTGTAAGTTGGAAGTTAGGTGGTTATTCGCCTGATACTAGATAGAATAAATCTAAGGCTTGTGACGTGAATAACCTGATGAACTTGTTTTTTTCCTTATTTCTGGATGGAATATGTGTGGCTGAAATTATACCAACCAGGAACTACAGCAATCATGTTAAATCTTTCATATGTTTTGTTGAACTGTGGAGCAAACAGGCCTACAAACTTGTGTCAGTGCATAGCTTACCCAAGATAGAGATTACTAATCGTTCTAAAGTGCTTTTTTCTACCATTCTTAATTGTTATCATTCACTCATAATAACCATAAAAGTGGTGGAGCGTGGAATCCGATGTCGAAATACCAGCTTGCAAAAAAATCAATTTCATGTGGATCACTATACTTCTTTGAAAAACGTGGAACAAAGATAGCGGGGATCTGGGTTTTTACTAACTGCTATGAGATTTTACAGATCACTGCAGTAACTGATGGGATAATCAACCAGGTTACAGTATTTTAGCTGAGTGGTTGGTTTTCCATAAATCAAATTCAGCAAAGTTAATTTGTTATCACAGCAGTTGTCAAGGTGGTCTTTAAAGTCACTCCAACTCTCAGTCAAATGAAGATTCGGTTCGACTAATATGACAGCAAATAATAAAAGGTATAAATGCACTGAGGTGAGCAACTCCTTGACTAAAATTGAAGAGAACGAATCAAGGCCGAATATAACTTGGGAGTTTACAAGTGCAAAAACTTACAAGCTTTCCTTGATCACCTAAGACAGGATCGCAGTCTGTTGAGTGGGAATGATTCAATTTTTTTTTATTACTTACAGAATTTCAGGCCTGGATTTTCTTTCTTCAAATCAGACACAATGTATGAGACAGCCTCTAGAAAACTTGATGAACCAACGTAACCTAAAAATTTGAAATGAATTTAAATGGATACCTGTTAAAACATGTGTATATCTGTGCAAACCATTGGCTTTTAATCCAAGGTATATGTCTTTCAAATCATTAGCATCCAAGACTTGTCCTCTGACACAGTCATAGCCTGTATGTAATATAACCAGAAATACACAAACCTGTGTGGTTTGAAAACTGTACCGAGTTAATGAAGTCAACTTCGATTCCTAAAACCTTTACTGAGATGAAAAATGAAAGGAACTAACTTGTAGTGGAAAAACAGCACTTCTGTTCCCTACATACCCATGAACTACATGACTCTGGATGCACAGAGCGCGTAAACAGCTAACTCCGTTCACACTCATAAACGACGGTTAACTTCTGTGAAAATATAAACTTGCACATTGTATATTCAATGTATGCCAGAAATATAAAGACGTTTGTCCTTTGTTCAATAATAGGTCTGTCAGAGGCAGTCTATTTCAAACCTTCAAGTGAATATCTTTGTGATAATCTTATACCTCTTTGAAAAATGAAAGTTTTGGAATCACTGGAAATCCACCTGCATGGATCACAGAGTTCTTTGTTTGTACAAGACAAAGAGTAAATATTAACTCTCAGCTCTCCTCTTAGAAGTCGGTAGACAGTAGAGTGCCGCAATGTACAGCCCTGGGTCCTCTGCTATTTCTCCTATCCATAAATTCAATGTCCAGTATCTTTTTTACGAGTGTGCAAACCAGTTGATTTCTTTTTGCTCACTTCTCAGTCTTGCGGAAAGGTTCCGGGTCTTTGGCGGATTCCGATGCAGTAGATCTAGCCACTCGTCTGCTATGGCCGTGGTACACAGAACAGGAGATTAAGTGTTGGTTAGCTTCCCAGGTCTTAGGTGCAGTTGGGTTCTTCTGATCTCCAGTTGCCAGACAGCTGTTCGGACTGCTCAATACAGAGAGTTAGGGATGGTGAGGAGAAAACCTAGAAAGATTAAGTTATTGGAGTAAATGGCAAAGAAAAGTGAACTAATGGGGAAATCTACTTACATCCAAGTAAGGCGACTGGGTGCAATGATATTCAGACTTAGATGGGTGATGCTAGTTCGTGTCAAGTGGAAGGGATGAAAAGGACTTAAATGACCACGGTAGGAAGAAAACTGGTCTAAAGGCAACATGGTTGGAATGACATGGCAGCAGTTGATTTCTTCTGTTTGGTTTGTATTCCAGCTACATGTGGATAGACCGTGGGTCCCTGAGTGACTGTCTAGCCTTTTCGTGATACTTTCAACAGATGGGGGGAGAGTACCTCTACTGGTAACGTATTCCAGTGCCTGGAGGAGCGAAGGGAGAAGAAATGTGATAGCACATGGGTTTTTGACCTTCGGTGGGCAATTCTCTTAGGGTTTCTATGAGGATCACCATGATGGCCACTCAGAACTAATCCTTTGTTTAGGTGGCTTGGGTTACTTGGTATTTTGTAAGTCACTGAAAATCACCCCGTAACCTTCAGTAGCTAAGAGAATACAGGCCTAGGTCTTTCACTCTTTCTTCATATGGTTTTTGTTGCATCCCAACAACCCCTTTTGTGGCCCGCCCCCGAACTTTATCGAGTAGGTTCTTGCCTCTTTTCAGTTGTGGTGGAGTGAAGACGTAATGGACCTCCGGGCGGGGTCGTATGCAGGTCTTGTAAGGCTTCAAAAGGATCTACGGGGTGTGGGCGCCCATTTATCTGCTCACAAAGTATAGTACGCCGTTTGCTTTTTGGGCATCGGTTGGGTAATTGGAACTGGTGTCCAGTTTCTCTGCCACCATTAAACCCACGTCATCTCTGCAGCGGTATGTGACAAATGTGAACCACAGAGAGAGTAGGATGACTTACGTGGATCAGGAGTGGGGAAAATATGGGCCGACATTTATCCAGGTTAAATGCCGGTTCATATTTTGCTGCTCATTTCTTTGGTGTTTTGAGGTCGTTCTGTGGTGCGCCGCATCAGCGTAGAAAAGAATCGTAGAGCTGATATGCAGCGGGAGGTCATTCACGAGTGGTAGGAACAGCAGTGGACCCAGTATTGCTCCTTGTGAGACACCGGACAATGACGCTCTCCAAGTTGAGTAGACACTGCGGACTTTCTTGCAGAACTTCCTACTGTCTAATTAGTTCGGCAGCCATGATGGCACCTGGCTACGGGTACCTAACCCGCCTATTTTGTGCATTGGGACAGCGTGAAGTGCTTTGCCGAAACCCGGAAAACTCGCTTGGGCCGGGACCTTGAGACCCTAGGACACTGTCCAGTGATCATGGGCCCTCAGGAGGTTGGAACACAAGGCCTACCCTTTCGGAGGCCATGTTGAGCATCACTGAGTGCTTGCTTTGTGTCCAAATATTCTGTGATACGGTCGTCTATCATACCTTCCATAACTTTTGATATTACTGGTAGAAGTGCTATGGGTCTGTCACAGTTTGCATTCCACCTGCCTCTCCTGAAGATGAAGGAGAGGATGGCCCATCTCCACTCTCGTAGGAGCTTTTGCTCACCTAGAGAATGTTAGAAAAGACTGCAGAGCGGGCCACTTAGGGTGCCCGCGCATTCTTTCAACATAGGTAGGCGAATGTCTTCGCACCCTGGGGATCTTCCTGCGCTTAGCTTTGATAACTTATCGAGAACAACAGCACGAGTCATGTATACTTCGCGCAACTGTACAGCGTCAGATAACGTTGGGGGCTGTTCAGGCAGTAGGTATGCATACTTTTCTGATGGAATGTTGGGCTGTGTCAAATGTGGTGCACAACATTTCAGCTATCTTCTGTCCAGAGAGGTTTTCTCCGTTTGGACCTTTTATGACGCATGCTCCTTGACTTGAAGATTTTCTCCTTGCCATGAATCGGTATAGATTTTGGGGCTGAATATCACGAAATCCTCTGTGGCTCGCAAAACGCAAAAGCTAGCGAGAAATTAAGGATAACGAGGATGCACATGCACTCAGGAAAAATCTGGTTAGCTCTTTTGTCTGGTTAGAGAAATGGCCAACATCCGTCAACCCGTATAAGTGTGTGAGTATTCACATAAAACAGACAGATAATAACACCCACGAGTTTGCTGGGACTCCTCTATCGTCAGTACTCGCCTACAGTGGCCTAGGAGGCATGGTAAATCGTCACTTGAAGGTCACAGCACACTGTCGATTGATCGCAGCTCGGGGCTTTGGGACAGTTTGGGGGCACGTCGGACGTGTAGAAAAATAAGTGGTCGCATGTTCACCATCTTACAGTTAGGTCTACACTTGAAAGCCACGCACAGGCGAAAAATCCTTGTCTGAAAGGTGACCCAGGGCCTCCGTAGAGAGTTCGGAGGGTGGGAATTCACAAGATTTGCGATGATTGGTCCAGCCTACGAAGATAAACCGCACCCCCTTTGCTTATCTATTGCAGATGGAAGAGATATATAGCTATGCCATACAGGATCCTAATAGATGATTTCGACCCTAACCGATCTTCTCACTGTCTTGAGGTCGAGACGGCTTGGATGACAGTAAGAGAACATGAAACCAAGGGTCAAACGCGCTCTCCTCAGAGTACCGGTTTTAGTGTCAACTATTCAGCTCCTGGGACCGATGCGCGGACGGAGTTGTTCCAAGGTCATGAACTAAATCGTTCAAAAGATGAGCGGAGAAGAACAGAAGTCCCCTGGAAGGGGAATAATATGGACTCACATCCTTCTGCCTTGAAACAGTAAGCCTGAACACGAGATCTGGGCTCATTCCCGGGGGGAAGTGAAGCCATTTCCTCGGGAAGTGGGTTTCTAATATTTACCACTCGGTGAGAATAACACAGGTCAAAGCTTGGTTGACTTTTTCACCATTTTTCGTTCTTTCTCTTGATGGTTTTAGTGATATGTGATTCTAACGCGAGGGAAAAATAGCGCATATCAGTATCAAAGTTGCTTTTAGGTGCCTAATCCTACTAGGGCAATATAATTGGGATAGGCTGAGTCATTCTGGATACTTATCAAATGGCAAACTCAACATACCAGTTACCAGCCTAACACGCTCGCTTCGGCCACCCTCCGTGCTACTGCACTCTTTTTTAAGCACGGAATGCTGTCTGGATCCAGAACTCCAGATAGGATCCTATAATAATAATAATAATATATATATTTCATACAACAAAGGTTACATGAATACAAACCAGTTTACAGGTTTGATCACTTTGGTAATGAGAGATGACTATTATGTACAATGTTATGCTATACATTAGATGCTGTGATTTATGGCATATAGGAGGTGTGTTGAAGCAGGCTCAGTTCGAATTTGAAGATTACCCGGTCATCGTTTGAATCATCCAATATTCTTGAAGGTGAGGCCGCATCACAGTCATGACCTTGAGGTGTGCGCATTGGTCATAACGTTTTGATGGCAATATTTCCCACTGACGGATGCGATTTGTAGGATTCCATTTGAATGCAGGACTGGTTAAGTAAATCTGAAAAGTGAATAACAAAAGCGAGCAGCAGGCGAAATTTGTTACAGGAGCACAAAAATACGCAGGAGTAGATCGACCATGATACATCTGGGTGAGTTTGTACTGACTGTTAAACTTACTTGAGGAAGTGTCCAGAACCAACTGTTTAGAGGTAAGCTTAGGTGGAAGAAGATGAAGGTGCGCACGACAGTAATGAAAGTCAGTCTGAAGCTGAAGATATCACTACGAAATAGAAAGATTAGAGGATATTTGACCAGGCATTAACTTGTTATATACCTATGTACAAGCGTATGATGAAGTTATAAACATTTAGGTGAAATTCGTGGTTTTTTTGTTCTTAGGACCACCACCCTTTATCTGGTCACGAGGGGGATGATCATGGTGTTGCCTGTTGAGTATTACCATATCGGGTCTACCGAAACTATGTTGGTGCAGAGTACTTAGATGTAAGTACTGATGACAAAGGGCAAATAATAAAGAGTTGCATGCTATGAAAATGCACCGACAGACAGTTCTTTTATCTTTTCGGAGTAGAGAGATTACTTTAAGGGGCGATTTTTAGGAAATAGGTGTTAAGTCGTGAGATCGGTTAGGTTGTGAAGAAAAGTAGGTTACATTTGAGTATCTAATGAGTTCACTGTAGCATATCGTGTCGCACTCCGCTTCCTGTTCACTCTTGGTCATTTTTTTTCAAAGAAATTAGATTTTAACTTAACTATTGCGTTTAGTTTTCGGCATTGTATACTTATGTCATTGCTGTTAGTCTCCCTTGAGTCTAGGTACCAGTAGTACCTTAGTGCATGGCATTACCGTTATTACTATTATTATTAGTTTCCGAGAATGGACGCAGTAGTTTACTGTCGATGGGATACTAGAAACAGTCGCTTGAACCAGCTTACGTTATTGCACTTTCATCGGAGCTGATTCACAGGCGCTAACATATATAGGCAGGCCACCAGTTCAGTCAATAAATGTTTTATTCTCACATTCGAAAAAGGTTAGCATGAAAAGCCAGTTTACAGGCTTCATCACGTTGATACACCTCAAATAATCTACAAGACTTGAGCCCTGAGTGGCACTGACG